TTCACCCGCCTGCGCTTATGCCCGCCGGGCATAAGAACAGGCAGGCCCTTCATCGAATAGGTTTTGGGCCTAAAATGATGCAAAAACAGCCTTTACCCTGCCAAACCTGCGCTGCCAAAGCCCCGCCTGCGCTTACGCCCGGCGGGCATAAGAACAGGCAGGCACCCAGGCCTGGACCAGGCCCTTGCAAGATGATTCCAAGATATGTAGGCCCAACATAGCTGACATGGACGTACTTGGGGCCAGCAAGTCAAAAGCCAACAAAAAGCAACATACGCGCGACAATGGCACAACAAACCTGCAAGATGACCTGACATGGGGCTCAACAAGCGTCTGAAAAGTGGACGACATGGACGAAATTGAGCTCATGTTTGGTCCAGAAATGTGTACTTTCTGTGTTCTTGGAATAGGCAATTTTTCCGAATCTGTTTCCTAGAAGATGAAATAAACGCAGCATAGAGCCAACATAGAGGGAAGATGGCCTGACATGGGATCAATTAGCTTTCAACAAATGCCACAAAGCGTCAGCATAAGCCTGGCATAGGCCCAACATGGCCGCAAGATGGAATGGCACAGGGTCAATAAGGGTTCAACAAGCACCTAAAAAAACCAACCAAGGCAAGATGGACGCTTTTAAGGCTTGATTTTCCTCGTTGTGTGACAATGAATCCAGTAATTACTCTGTTCAATCAGCCACACCAGTAAGTACACCACCTAAAAAAGAAAAGTGGAACAATCACAAGCACACACACAGGTATGGGTTGGGAGTTATAATAAAGCCCCTCCAAAGACAAGATTTGTTTTTAACCCGAACTGAGTTTGTGATATCCTTTTTTTTCATTCATTTTCAATTGCCCCATGTGTGAGTTTTTAAATTCATGTGAACCCCTGTTCTCACAGCACCCGCGATAAAAAAGTCAAAAGGCCAATAGTGTTATATGGTTCCCCGAACTACTATCTATCTATCCATTTATCTATCTATCTATCTATCTATTCATCCTTCTACCTATCTATCGATCTATCGATCTATCTATCTATCTATCTATATATATATATCTATTTATCTATCTATCTATCTCTCTATCTATATATTGATCTATCTATCTATCTATCTATCTATCTATCTATCTATCTATCTATCTATCTATCTATCTATCTATCTATCTATCTATCTATCTATCTATCTATCTATCTATCTATTCATCCTTCTACCTATCTATTCATCCTTCTACCTATCTATCGATCTATCGATCTATCTGTCTATCTATATATATACATATCTATCTATTCATCTATCTATCTATCTCTCTATCTATATATTGATCTATCTATCTATCTATCTACCTACCTACCTACCTATCTATCCTTCTATCTATCTATCTATCGATCTATCGATCTGTCTATCTATACATATATATCTATTTATCTACCTATCTATCTATCTCTCTATCTATATATCTATCTATCTATCTATCGATCTATCTATCTTTCTATCGATCGATCTATCTATCTATCTATCCATCGATCTATCTATCTGTCTAGCCATCTATCTATCTCTCTATCTATCTATCTCTCTCTCTCTCTCCTCTCTTTCATCTGTCTATCTGTCTATCTGTCTACCTGTCTATCTGTCTATCTGTCTTTCTATCTACCTATCTATCTACCTATCTATCTATCTATCAATCTATCTAGCCATCTATCTATCTATCTGTCTGTCTATCTATCTACCTATCTATCTATCTGTCTATCTTTTTATCTATCTATCTCTCTATCTCTCCACCCATCTATCGCTCAAAACTCTCTCTATCTATCTATTCATCTATCTATTTATCTATCTGTCTGTCTATCTATCTATCTATCTCTCTCTCTCTCTCTTTCATCTATCTATCTGTCTACCTGGCTATCTGTCTGTCTATCTATCTATCTGTCTGTCTATCTATCTATCTATCTATCTATCTCTCTCTCTCTCTCTTTCATCTATCTATCTGTCTATCTGTCTACCTGTCTACCTGTCTATTTGTGGTGCAGTGTCATTCAGTGCAATGTAGAGTAGTGAAATGTAGTGTGGTGGTGTAGTGGAGTGTATCATGTCATCATGCCGCCGTCGGATATGTTTGGATCAAAGCATTTCGCCACTGGGTGTGCCACGATGAACATAAACGTTAACATCATGCTGACCCCTATTCATATCATTCGCATGGCACCTATCTCATTAGAATTTACCAAAGAACATAAAACATCATTTTTTCGGGGTTGCGCTTCATCTCGCCTCGATGAAGCACAACCAAGTGCTTGGGAGCACAACCAAAGTCATTTATCGCACAAAAATGAGCTTGGTTGCGCCCCCAAACGCTGGGTTGCGCTTCATCTCCCCTCGATGAAGCACAACCTTGGAAAATGATATTTTTTTATCTTCTTTGGTAAATTTATGTCTTCCAGACCCCTCTTCCAGACCGTAGTAGTAGTCGTAGTCGTAGTCGTCGTCGTCGTAGTAGTAGTAGTCGTAGTAGTAGTAGTAGTAGTAGTAGTAGTAGTCCTCGTAGTAGTAGTAGTAGTAGTAGTAGTAGTAAAAGTAGTAGTAGTAGTAGTAGTAGTAGTAGTAGTAGTGGTAGTAGTAGTAGTACTACGGCCAGGACGGATGTGCTGCCCGGGAAAGTGCGTTTTGACTGCGCAGGGCCAATGTTTTGTGAGATTCCCCGTGTCGTTCGTTTGGGCAAACGGATGACGAATTTTTCCCTCATTTCATCAACATCATCATCATCAGCATCATCAGCAACAACATCAACATCATCAACATCATCAACATCCCAATTGACTGTAAAGTTTAACGGGGGTAGGAGTTTACTATTCCCTAATACCCTTGTTGATCTTCCCAATTGAATGCAAAGTTTAACGGGGATGGGAGTTTAATATTCCCTAATACCCTTGTTGATCTTCGCAATCGAATGTAAAGTTTAACGGGGGTGGGAGTTTAATATACCCTAATACATTTGTTGATCTTCCCAATTGAATGCAAAGTTTAACGGGGGTGGGAGTTTAATATTCCAATGTAAAGTTTAACCGGGGTGGGAGTTTAATATTCCCTAATACCCTTGTTAGTGGGAGAACCTCCACAGAGTCAACCCCTAACTTGGTTGACCCTCTGCAGGCCCCTCCACCGGGTCCACGTATTCGGAGTTCGGAACGTACTTGTACAGAACAAAAAACGATACTTTATAACTTTATGCATACTTAGTAGAAATCACAAGGTCAACAACTAACCAAAAACATTAGTTTCTGTGGACCCGGTTGGACTTTATGTAAACTTGCTAGAAATCACAAAGTCAACAACTAACCAAAAACAATAGTTTCTGTGGACCCGGTGGGAGAGCCTCCACAGAGTCAACCCCTCACTTGGTTGACCCTCTGGAGGCCCCTCCACCGGGCCCACCTATTCGGAGTTCGGAACGTAATTGTACAGAACAAAAAACGATATTTTATGTATACTTGGTAGAAATCACAAGGTCAACAACTAACCAAAAACATTAATTTCTGTGGACCCGGTTGGACTTTATGTAAACTTGCTAGAAATCACAAAGGCAACAACTAACCAAAAACAATAGTTTCTGTGGACCCGGTGGGAGAGCCTCCACAGAGTCAACCCCTCACTTGGTTGACCCTTTGGAGGACCCTCCACCGGGTCCACGTATTCGGAGTTCGGAACGTCATTGTGCAGAACAAAAAACGATACTTTATGTAGTCGTGGCGGAAGCGCCTCCACAGCGTCAACAACTAGCTCAGTCGACTCCCTGGAGGCCCGTCCAACGAGTCCGCGTGCTGACAACACGGTATACCTACAAGAATAACGATTCACCAACAACAAGCACACAAACATTCCAGCTGCTTGGGTGAGCTTTTCAAACTCCAAAAGTTTCTTTCCAACCGATTCTTGTCCAAAATGCCTACCTTATACATCTAACGTTAGAAATCGGCAAACTCTTCAACGCAATTTCCACGAAGTCATGAATCCGCTTGTTGATCTTCGCAATTGAATGTGAAGTTTAACCGGGGTGGGAGTTTAATATTCCCTAATACCCTTGTTGATCTTCCCAATTGCATGCAAAGTTTAACGGGGGTGGGAGTTTAATATTCCCTAATACCCTTGTTGATCTTCCCAATTCAATGTAAAGTTTAACAGGGGTGGGAGTTTAATATTCCCTAATACCCTTGTTGATCTTCCCAATTGAATGTAAAGTGTCACGGGCCTGGGCGTAGTAGTAGTAGTAGTAGTAGTAGTAGTAGTGGTAGTGGTAGTAGTAGTAGTAGTAGTAGTAGTAGTAGTGGTAGTGGTAGTGGTAGTGGTAGTGGTAGTGGTAGTGGTAGTGGTAGTGGTAGTGGTAGTGGTAGTGGTACTGTTAGTGGTAGTGGTAGTGGTAGTAGTAGTAGTAGTAGTAGCAGTCGTAGTAGTAGAAGTAATAGTAATAGTAATAGTAGTAGCAGTAGTAGTAGCAGTAGTAGTAGTAGTCGTCGTCGTAGTAGTAGTAGCCGTGGTAGCAGTAGTAGTAGTAGTAGTAGTCGTAGTCGTAGTCGTAGTAGTAGTAGTAGTAGTAGTAGTCGTCGTCGTCGGTCGTCGTCATAGTAGTAGTAGTCATAGTAGTAGAAGTAGTCGTCGTCGTAGTAGTAGTAGTAGTCGTCGTCGTAGTAGTAGTAGTTCTCATAGTAGTAGTAGTAGTAGTCCTCATAGTAGTAGTAGTAGTCCTCATAGTAGTAGTAGTAGTCCTCGTAGTAGTAGTAGTAGTAGTAGTCATAGTAGTAGTAGTAGTAGTAGTAGTAGTAGTAGTAGTCCTCATAGTAGTAGTAGTAGTAGTAATAGTAGTAGTAGTAGTAGTCGTCGTCGTCGTCGGCGTGCTTGCGTTACAAACAGTCGCACCTTCTCTTGCCTCTCCCTCCTGCCTTTTCCCCCCCTACCTTTCGTCCCCCCCCTCTCAAGTTTTGGTAGCCTTTTGTCAGACCGATGTGGCATGCTGGAGTTGGCATGGGGCTGGTTGACATTCTGCATGTTGTCTTCCTCACTCGTGAGCCTTGCAATCCTCTTGATTTTGCAACTGAGTCATCTAAGTTAGATCATGTTACATCAGTTTTGTCAAGATATGTCAAGTTATATCCCTAGCGCTATATAATACCAGTGGTCCGTAGTTTCAATGTTTCAGATGTGCAGTTTCGATTGCCTCAGGAAGCGTTGCAACCTGCAATTCAGCAGTTGGAGGAGTGGAAAATTGATGCTCCGCGCCTTGACCGCTACCGCTATCCAAACCTCAGGATGGTGACTGTGACTGGATGTGACTGGATGTGACTGGAATAGATCTCTTAAAACGCAGCAAGGCCTCAACGTAACTTCCCAAGGCAGTGCGACAACTTTTGCCAGTCTCTCTTGGAAAAGCTGATCGAGAAAGATGCCTTCAACCCGGTGATTCTGAGAGCGTGAGATTCTCAGGGGAAGCTTCTGTGTGGGTCCAAGATGCTCCAAGCATGTAATATATCTATATCCATATAATATATATAATATATATATATATATATATTATATGTATATTTCTGTTGCATGTGTGTCAGATTTCTGTCACTGCGTAGCTGCGTAGCTATCTCTCTTGTTGAATGCATGGTGCATCCATGTCCTCAGGCTGCAGCCCTTGATGCAATCAGACACGCAGAAAAAGCTGTGCTGGAAGCAATTGACACTTGGCACGATCACCAGCGTCACGAGCAGTTGCTGTAGAGAGTGGTTTTATATTCTTGTGGGAAAATTTGATGGGTCAGTTTGAAACAAGCTGTGACAAGCTGCTTGTAGTTAGATAGAGCGAATTGAACGCGTGCAGATGTATGGAAAGTCCAGTTTTCCGAGCAGAAAATTACATAAGTCTCAGCTGGTGACTACAATTCCCTGTTATGACGGTTGAAACCATGCATTCCCTTCGGTTCTGCGGAGGCTCAAACGTCAAATTCAATCATTGATAGGCCATGATGGGCCATTGTGCCAAAATTCAATTGTTCTGCTTGGGATACCTTTAAGATCCTTTAAGAACTCATAACATTTGAGACTTTTAAGGTTGCAGTGAATTTCAGGTTTTCGATGGTTAAAAAGTGCTCCCACTTTTTCCAAGGATTGGATGCCTCAGAAAGTTGAAGAAAAGTGGAGGCCACTGGTGGAACTGGGTGCCTCGTGATCTCGTGTGACTCTTGTGTCGCTGGCAATGCTACGACCTCTGTTGGAAGAAATGAGGGAAAGATATGGAAAATTATGGAAAGATTGGAAAAGATGGAAAAGTATGCATCAGGAAGGAGAACATGGAAAAACTTCACATTGACATGATGAATCATGATACTTCTGAAAAACAATGTAAACAATATGTAAGAGAAACTAAGACAAGGAGATCATAGAGGAGGATGACGGACGGAGGATGTAAGCGCAGCACCTTGCGATGACAGGCCAGAACCTGGTTCGAAAGGCCCTAGATATCCAAGAGCTCGTTAGCCTTGCAGCGAACGCTAGAGGCTGTCGGGGCCACAGCAGAACCGTTATGGAACTGTTCCGGAAGTGTTACGGAACCTGACTGGCGACATTTGGTGACCCACCAGGTCGATTACCAGGCTGTGCAAACAGTTGAATCAGAATCCTCATGCGGTTGTGATAGTGGGATATAGTATGATATAGTGGGGGACAGGGACATTGCTGAGGCCCTGTAGAAAATGCCCGTCGAACTCTGGAATCTGAGTGTTGAGGGTTTTGGCTTTAGAGAAGTTCGAGCATCGGCTTGAGGTCAATGCACGGGCTTAGGCTTTAAAACTTTAGACGGTTTAGATGGCTCAGGCCGCGGATGACCTTGTGGTTCAGACTACGAGATTTTTCATCTGTTGCACGTCTCACCCGAATTTGTACATCGCTTGCGGCACCAGCACAGGCCCCTCGGAAAATCTGGCAGCATCTTGCAGTATCTTGTTGAGTCGCCTCTGGATGCACTACAAATCCCTACAGAGAGACATCCAGAAAGTACCACAAGGACAAGAGTATCCTAGTGCAACCAGATGCAACCAGAAGACAATTATTTGGAAGAGCAGATGAAGAGCCCGTTTTGGGAGGTGCAAAGGCAACAACCGACAAGTACGTGTAGCTCAGTACGTGTGGCTCAAATTCTCAATCCTGGCATGTGAACATGTGTGAACACGTTGCAATTGGAAACGGGGCGAAGAAAAAGTGAAACATGTGAAACACCTTGCTCATCATATCTCATCATATCTCATCATATCTCATCATATCTCATCATATCCCTGCGATGAAGTCACCTGCGAAGTGGATTGCACAGCGAAGATTTTTCGCCGTGATTCCCATCTCGGGTTTCACCGCAGTTTAGCACACCAGTCTCATCACATCTCATCACAAGCCTCAGGTGAGTTTAGCGTGTCCCCAGTGCCAACTTTTTGCAGAGAGTGAGAGAGCGCGAGCGAGTGAAGAAGGCCTAATGGCCTAATGGCATTAGGCATGACATGGCGCGACATGTTCGAGCATGTTTGAGCGAATCTCATAGCAAATTACTTTTCTCGGATGTTACTCAAAGTGTGCCGTTGTCCCTGAATTCTCAGCGGAAACAACAACGATTAACCATCCAAATATTGGCGCAAACTCTTCCCATCTTTGAGATCAAAACCCCATTGATGCAGATCAGGAAATCAGCATCCACGCGCACAGCCATGAAATCGGGAGCTGGTGCAAGCCAGATGAAGCATCAGGGAAACTGCAAGTGATAATCAGGTTCTTCAAACTGCTAATTCCGTTGATGCATGGACATCCGGGAGTTTGCTGGGGTAACCGGAGGCTCCAAACTTTGAACATAAGTAGCACTGGCCCAGCCTTCGCATTTTACATGTGCAAATGTGCCTCCATAGTGCCAAAGGGAAGAAGGAAAACGCGTATCCAAACCAATGCCGCTGCCCTTTTCCCATGAGATTTGCTCTTTCTGGTCAAATGGCCCTTCAAATGGCACGATATTTCCCACATTCTGCATTCAACGCTTCCTACCAGAGCGGTGGCTATGTGTGGCTGCTTGACCCAGAACGTTTCTCTGTGGGGTTACTCACCACGCAGTTATATAAGCCTTGACTCTTCATGATTGCAGAAATGCAGTGATATTAATTATATAATATTATATAATAATATAATATCTATTGTGTATTATATATACCTATGACTATGATATATATATATATAGTATTTGAATATGCATGAATAAATATATAGATGCATATATATATATACACGTATGCATATGCATATTATTGAATGATATTGAATGCATATAGAGTGCATGTTGCTACAAATTCATTGGGATCCAAAGGGTGGGCTAGCGCTAGCATTGGCTTAATCCCTGTGCACTTTTGACGACGGTGATGTGAAGAATGGGAAGATGAGGGAAGCCAATATCAAAACATTTAAAAACCAAAAACAAATCTGTTAGCAGGTGAGCTTCAGTTGGGAACTGCAAAAGCTAAACAGCAAAACTTTGTAAAACTTTGAGCCGTGCAAAGTGCGTGGAAAAAGCAATAATTATTAAAAATCCGTATGCACCACAATGAAATTGATGCGTGTGACTCACCGTCATGGTCCGGCCAGTCACAATCTGTAGGATGCAGTAGGGCTACCTGATTGTGTCAATTTAAGTGTCACATGTTTGATTTGTTTCATTGATGATATTGATGATCCAAATCATACTCGTCACGGTGGCGGAATGTGGTCGATTTGCCAAACAATATTGACTCTTTGAATTTTGTGGCATTATGTGGCATCGTTCCCCTCACACACCTGCCACAAAGTTCGCAGCGAAGTTCAAATCCGTGGTGATCCCGGTTGGTGGTCGCTGATGTTGGGGCGCCATGGTTTTGCCATGGTCCTTTTTAGCTCCTTGCGGAGGGCAGCAACTCAACCCTTACAGCGTCACCAGCTGCCGGTCTCGGCATGGCGAAAGAATTCTCGAAGTTGTATCCAACTTGGTGATGTGAGATCCTTTAAGGAATCGGGTCACACAGGCCAGGTATGTCCAGGCCGTTTAATGCAATGAATATTATAAGACTCAGTAGACTCTAAGGGTGACCAAGGGTGACCAAGGGTGACCAAGGCAGCACTTGGCGAATTCTTTGAGCTGTTGGCGAATTATGTTTCTTTGAATCTTCCGAAGAATCCCCCAAGATCTCCAGAGATCATCTCAGAATGCACCTTGCAGTGCCTGACGCAGGTGACGCAGATGAGTTGCTGCGCGCCGTGGGAGGCATCATTGGTTCGGAACTCCCAGACCGCGTCGCAAGGAAAGAGCTCTTCGAAGCCCATGCTGTGGCCAGAGTCGTGGATCGACACTTCCCTGAGGAAACTGAAATCACCGAGTTCTGTGCAGGTTTCGACCGGGGATGCCTACCGGGATGCCATTGGGTATTTTGGATAAAATCCCATTAAATCCCATTAAACCACCATTAAATCACCATTAAACCACCATAAAATCATGTTAATCTTGTGTTTGGTCACAAGATGTCACAAGATTTTGATCTGATGATATCTGATGTCACATGATATCTCATGTTGTTTCACTCGGTCTCATGTGGCCATCTCGGTCTTGGTGGCTGTTTGTTTGGTATTTTCTCTTGCTCTAGACTCTAGAAGCTGTTCATGTATTGTGATATATTCTGATTATCAATGATTATAATCATGATTTATACATTTATACATATTTACGAGGCAGTGTATGAGACATGTTCAGACTCTGCAGGTTGCGGTTTGTTGGGGATTTTCTTGATGCTATTGAATCCTCGGCGACGAGTGCGATGTTCAGACAAGAAGAAACAGCTCTTAGCTTGCCGCCTGCAAGATGCATTGACAGTACACTGGCCATTTCTGCAGGGAATCACCTGGGAGGAGGCGAGTTACTAAGTTTAGGGAGCCAGAATTCGTTTTTTTTTGGCCAATGTTCGACATGTTTTTGTTCCGGAAAATCGAGGAGATGCTGAGATTGCAGCTGATGACTTGTTTCGTGGTATTGTATATGTGTATAGTATTCTATATAATATATACTATAATTATATTATATTTAGTATTTACACATTTATTGTTAATTTTTATTCATTTATTCATTTACTATTCTATTTAGATGTGTGTTTTATGTATGGTTTTCTCAGGAGGATGCCAGGCATGGGCAGCTCAAGACGAGAGGGGAACTGGTGGCATCCTGCCATGCCTGCAGCGTCCTCTCCGATGAGGTCATCCTGACAGCGAGGCGCGGCAGGTCGCCGCTGGTGTTGGTGCCATGCTGCTATCAGAAGGCCCCACGGTTGCCTCGCGAAGTGGGATGGCCTTGGTTGCCCAACTGGTCCTGGAAAAGGTGGCCATGGTTGGAAGAGGGGAGTATCAATGCACAGGGACGAGATGCCATCCACGCGGCTAGAGTCAAGTGTTTGGAGGAGGATGGTTATGAAGTTTGGGAAGAATTTATCGACCCAAACATCTCCAAGATGAACATGGCAATTGTTGCACAACCAACCTAGGAGCCACACAAAGCTGAACGGAACTCAGATCCGTCCACAAACGGCTTCAGCTCGCTTCAGCGCCCTGATCTGATGGTGAATCTTGATGAATCTTGAGCATTTGACATCGACATCACTGTGGCCATTGAAGGCCTAAGGGCCTAAGGCTTGGCCTAGGGCCATCCTAAAGCCTTATGGAATTCTTATGGCTACGATCGCACCCTACCGGGCACCTCCGGAGCAGCCATGGTGAGCCGAGCAGCTGACCGGGATGCCGCTGCTTGGAAAAAATCGCCGAAATCGCCTGATTTTGACATCGATCGGCGCTGAGTTTTGTGAAATTGCCTCCTCTGATTTCATGATGATGAAGCCACTTGAATCCACTTGAGTTCTTTCAGAATCTGTTAATATCTGTTATTTTTTCAAGACCGTCGCATGGTCTGCCAGGTGTCCTGGCTGATGCCGTATTTGTTACTTCCAGATTCCAGGTGCTTCCCATTGATGCACTGCAGATGCTGATGCTCTGAAGCCCTTACAAGTTGACACTTATGATATGTCAATATGGTCAATATGGTCGTGTATGTTGTGTAAAATGATACGGTCGCCCTTGGGTTTGAGAATTTCGTTCAACCCCCGTGAGATACAGCGTCAACTCTGGCATCGTGTTGCTCAGCCTCAGCAGCATTTTAATCGCCGCAGCGCAAATCTCAGTGACTTATTGTATTTCTATTATTTTCTATTTATTTCATTTTATTTCTATTTATTTGTGGCCTGGCAGAGCCAGTCTTTTTTCCAAGCAACTTGATTCCATGGATTTAAAGACATCGGTATTTTCCTCACAGCTTCACGATCTCTTGAACAGAGATGATTAGAGAGAGATCCGGAGCACCATCGAAGGAGATCGAAGGAGCACATTCAGAACAGTGCTGCGAATCGCCTCATTTTTTGGGCGACTTGTGCCCTGAGGTCAGCGTGCAGTTCCTAGTTGCTTTGTTATCCGAGGCTTGGAGACTGAGAAGATTTGCAATGGTAGCAATGGTAGCAATGTGGGATGGTCGAAATGACAGAAATTATAGCATTAGATAGCATTAAATAATTTGCTTCCCTATATCTTTCATATTCTTTCATGCTTGGGCATTGAGTGAATGTGGTGAAGAAACTTCTCTATACTGTGTACTGTGAGATGCAACGTAATACGTAATATAATGATTTTGATGAGGGTGATTGCAGTGCAGTTTGATGCAAGTAACTGCAATTTAATGTAATTTGTATATTCGATCATATTCCCGCATGACCGGATTGTATGAACATTGCTGACACATTCGTGCAACGTCATGTATTGTGTTGCTTTGCATATTACTGTGCTAAAGTATGTTCTGAACGTAGTGAGGTAGCGCAAACTTAGTAAAGCT